CACCTATCAATAGTCTCAGCCAGCAAGTCTCCTTGTGGGCAACATTGAGGTATCTGCAAAGTTTTAACAGCATACTCTACTTCTGTCTGCAGCCTGCAATTTAATTCTTTTAAAAGCAACACTAAGTCCTGTACCTATCTGGGCTCTGTGATAATAACCCTAACCTCAGCTATTGTTCCATTATCTTAAGGAAAGATTTAAAGCAACATACTGCTTTATTTATGTTGCACCTGGCACTATGTGGGGAAGAAGGCTTTTTTTTTTTTTTTTTTTAAATCCTTCTCTTACTCAGCTTGGGAGAGAATTTACTTCAATTGTGGAGCAAAGGAAATTTTTTGGGCCCATGCTCATCTAAGGATCTTTTATGCCACAGATCAGCAACCTCAGGCCCAAACATCAGTTTGAACAAAAGCCCAGGAATAGGTGCATTCCATACCGCTAGAGTTCAGAAAGAACATTGTGAAGGTGGATGAACTGAAAAAGCCTACTTGGATAAATTTTGTGCGGCATCCTCTATCTATGTAAAGTAATTGGCTTCGCTATATGACACATCTGGCTGCACTTTGTGTGTGGGCATTTCTAACAAGCACTACAATTTCACCTAATATGCTCTAAATTGTACACATGGCCTGAAGATGAATTTATGCTTCTTATGGCTCTTTACAACTAAAATGATTACAAACCATTCCAATGGGTGAGATCATGGGCTCATCCTTTCCAAACACAGTGACTGTTCAAGGTCAGGATACATATGCGAAAAGGGGGAAAGAAACTCGTTTTGTAAAACAGATAATAAAAACCACAGACCAAGCTACATTTTGAACAACTGAGCAGCTCATAACAGGCAACAATGAGAATTGGTACTAAAATTGATACTCTAAGAGGAATTACAGTCACTTTAAGTTTATTTACAGGATCGGCAGAATGGAGAGTGCACGGTGAGATCTCGCTTGTTTGAATGTGAAAAAGAAAAAGGTCAACTTCTGACCCACAATTTGGGAAATTATTCCATTCCTAAGGTAATCAGCCTGTCATCCAAATAATTCTCTGCTCACTCATTACAGGAAACGATACAAGCCAAGCTGTCTGTCTAAAGTTGCTGTGGCATTTTGATATACAATAATTTGGCCCATGACCTTCAGTAGTTGAGTTTCCAAATGTACAAGGCTTTCTGAAATGTTTTTCCTGCCATGATTGTTCATATTAAGGAGTAGGTAACATAGAAAGATATGCCAACACACTATATTCACTGCCCCCATTCAAAAAACAACTAATCTTATAAAGAAACCAAAATGGATATCAAATCATTCTCACATCTCCCAATGAAAAACATCTGGAGCTGAGAAGTAGAAAACGCTCATTTGGCCTCAAAGAAACAGAGAGATCTTGCATGTGGCTATAATGTCACCAACCAGAAATAAATTCATCAATCTTAGTTCCTAAAGATATGTTTTTCTCAGTTATATATTTAAAATATATCCCAACTTCAAAAGAAGTGTTCTTTCAAGCCTTTCTTCATCACCCAAAAGTGATTTCGATGTTGCTTCTCTATGCTTCTAAACACTCTGAGCATGTTGCTGTGTTACTAGTGGCCATCGAGTCGATTCTAACGGCGATCCTATGAGTGCAGAGCACAACTGCTCCATAGGGTTTTCAAGGCTGTGACCTTTTGGAAGCAGATTGCCAGGCCTTACTTCCAAGGAGCCTCTGGGTGGGTTTGAACCACCAAACTTAGGGTTCGTAGTCCAAAGCTTAACCATTTGTGCCACCCAGGGACTCCTATCAAACCACTTGTAAACTGTAGCACATTCCTTTACTTTGTCTCAGACTGCAGAGTTCTAAGAGCATTCTTTTTTTCCCCATCTTTGCTCTCCAGCATCAAAAATGACTGGACTATTGTGAGCACTCAATAAATTTGATGGATTAAATAATTAATTGGAGGATAAATGTTGTAAAGACTTTGGTCTGAAATCCAGATTCCCAGAAGTAAAACGGCAGGTAACTGCTCCTGGTGATATGGCGGGAGTAATGGGAATGAGAACCCTCAGTGGGGTTTGGCCAAGTTGAAACTATGTATATGCATATGTGTGTGTGTGTGTAAACCACTTCCATATGCAGTTGCTATTTTGTCCTTCAGTTTGACATTGTGCTCATTATTCTTTTCAGCCCCCTTGCTCAAATATCCGTAGTTATTTACCACACAATACAAAAGAATCCTGCTTTAAGAGATCTTATAAGTATAGATGAGTCAATTATGCCAAACAGTATAAATAAATTAATATAATTCTGTCATGTTGCTATGTGGGAATGACTCAGTTTACTGATCATCTAGAGAAATAAACTAAATATTTATTTTAGAAAAAAAAACAACGTTAATAGTAATGTTGTGGAAGACAGAGATTTTCTTAGATATTAGGTTGCTGAACTTGTTCTATAACCTCCCAAAGTCAGGCTAGGCTTGATTTCATGAAGGGTTTTTACCCAGGACACTGGGCGCATAATGCCAATTACCTGTCCTAAGCCCCCATCCACTTTACCTGAACTAATATAAAGTGCTTTAAACTAGTACCTCTTCTCCCATTTTTCCTTTTTTCATCCACAGAATTAATCTTCCTCAAACTCCAACTCGACCACTAAATCCTTTGATCAAAACCTTTTATAAGCTTCTCTCTTTGTGTAGAGTAATGTCATGGGAGTGTTAGATTTTAGAACCATAAAGGACCATAGAGATCATCTAGACTCTAGAGCAGCATTTCTCAAGGTTGAGCAAGTATCAGAATAACTTGGAGGGCTTGTTAAAACCCAGATTCCTGGGCCTCTCCCACAGAGATTCAGATTCAGTAGGTCTGAGATGGGGCCCAATAATTGGCATTTATGACAAGCTCCCAGGTGATGCTGAAGGTGCCAGTCTAAGGACCATAGTTTTCAAAGCTCTGATGTACAGCAGCAGCTACATGTATCCAGGAGGCCTCTGTATTCAACCAGAAGAGCTCTACTTTCATCCGCCTCCTCTTAAAATTTAATTTCAACAAAGGGTTTAGTAACTTACGATCAGTTACATACTCTAACCCTCTTGGTTTACAAATAAGAAAACCAAGGCCCAGAAAGCCAGGTCACCTGGCTAGTGGGTCAGTGTTCTTTCTGTATACCAGCAATCTTCAAACTTTCTGTCTAGCATTGAAGGCTCCTACTACATTTCTACCTTTATCTTTCCTTCTCTTCAACATAACCAACCGCTCAGGTCTATTTCAACTGGGTTGTTTATCCTTCCCCAAAGAATCAGAATCATTTTTTATTCAAGTCTTTTCTAGTATCTTTCTCTCTCTGCTTCCAAATATCTGGTGTAATTACCACATTATGCAAATAACGCACACATTCTACTTTTTTTTGGTGTGTGCCAACCACGCCCTCCCCTCCCAGGTATTTTCATAAATGTGGTATGCTAATTTTTTTTACTGCAACCTGTACAAGAAAATTAGCACAGCGTATTTACGAAAATACCTTGGGGTGGGGGGAAGTCACGGTTAGCAAAAAAATTCAGAACACGAGTTATTTTCATAAAAAATGCGGTATATTTCCAACACTCTGACCTGAACTCATCACTTTTTGGACACTAATCTCTCCTGCACTTTAGTAACGCAATGCATGGATGGCCACATCTTAGACTCAACATCACACAGAACTGGGCCACCTCCAACATCTCAGATCCCCAAAAGAACATTTTTTTTAAACCTCAACCTTCTAGGCCTCTATCTCCCCTTTACCTAACTTCCATTTTACTACTTCATTAACCCTAGACCACTGATATCTCTGCATCCTCCCAGGCTATCAGGTTAACCCTTCTTTGAGCTGCATTTTCCACCCTCCGCCGACTAGGTGACAGCTCTCATGTTCAGTCACCTCACCAGTATTCTGACTACGGTGCCTTCCTTGATTTTCTGTCATGTATGTCTTCTCAATCCCAACACAAAGTCCATCTTTCAATTTTTTTTTTCTTTCTATTCTTAGTCCTCTGAGCACTGTTGGTTATGGTCATATTACCATGTTGACTGGACTTAATAAAATTCTTGCCATCTACCCTGGTGCTGAAGTGGTTAAGAGCTCAGGCTGCTAACCAAAAAGTAGGCAGTTTCCAAGCTGCCTGGAAACACTATAGTGCAGTTCTACTCTGTCCTAAAGGGTTGCTGTGAGTCAGAATCGACTTGATGGCACACAGCAACAATAACCCTCAGCTAGATTTCCTACCTTAAGTAGCTTATTATTCATTCCTAATGGACTCTCTATCAAGTTTCCCAAAGAGATGCTTCAAAACTCCCATCATCCCAAACCCCTATATGCACTCCAAGGCTTCTTATTCCCAGAAGTACCATCACCTCTAGGGCAAAACACAAGATCAGAGCATAAGTCTGGGCTAGATTTTATAAGATCAACATGCCATACTATGGAATTTCAACTTTGTGGACAATGGAAGCCATTCAAAGTTTTGCTCTAAAAGATCACTCTGGTGGCAGTATGGAGGATGGACAAGAATAGCGATGTAGGCAGATACATTAGTCGGATGCAGCACATACGCAAGAAGAATGAGGGACAGAAAACAAACAAGGATTACTAAATACTGAATGTTATGTACAGCGGATACATAATAGATGTTTGTTGAACTGATTTATTTTGGCTCTTTGATTCTGAGAAAAATATACCTACAGAAAAGTACTGACTACACTTAAAAAAAATGCATTGTTTAGAGCAAAAATACTTTTTCTGTGACTTACCATAAGGCAATGAACCCTATTATGCAATGGACAGATGGTGCAACAAGATATAAAATGAAATTAGCAATGATGAAACCCAGATGGAAATAAGGGAAAGGTCAATAAGTTAAAGGTCAAAGGAATTCGGCTCCATTTTGTCTCCTCTTACAGAGAACTGAGGTCATAGCTTAGTGGCCTCTACTGCTGTGAAGTTCAAAGACTATTCATTGTGCTGAAGAACCAAACGCTTACCCAGGGTTGTTCAAAGCTATAGGTACGTCGTCGATCTTCTACATCTTCATCCTGCTTTGCTTGTTGAAATTCTTGCCTCAGACGCTGTATCCGATCATGGTTGCTAGGGGTTGATCTGTTGCTGAAAGACAGAAGGGGCAACAATGAACACCCTTCAGTAATATAATCTGTGAATTGCAGTTGCCAGGGCAAAAACAGCAGTTTGCTGTGAAATGACTTAAGAGGAAGTGAATTTTTTAAAACAAGATCTGGGCACTTGAAGTCTGTTTTCATTTTGTTCTTATGATTAAGGCTTATTGAAATTAAGACAGATATTCAAGAGGGTGAATATTATATTTAGATGTTCTCTTTGTACGCTGTTCTTTAAAAGCCTCATTTACTTTCCATAATCTGGCAAGGTGTTGGCAGTGAAATTTTTTGGAAAGGACATTGCATGAGAAGTCAAAAATGCCAGAGTTTAGTCCTAGCTCTTCTACCTTCCTAGACTACGCCACTTAATGCCTCTGAGCTGTGCTTTCTTTACACTATATGAAGGGGGATAAAATCATTTTTGCTCTAAATATCAAAGTTGTAAGAATCAAGTGAAATAACACCATAAAATACATCCTCACCAGTGTGCAGCATCATTTTTGTAATGTCATTATATGAAGTTCCCGTTTAAGAGTCAGCAGAGGTCTTTACACAAAATGCAACTCTCAGAGCACAAACAAAAAGTATTTTAAAAATAAGTTCAGGTGATAGTTTGAGTTAACCAGTTAGCTAATAATAATATTTCCTACTTTTTGTATAGCATTGGATTTTATTTTATCCTCACAAAAGTGTGTAAGAGAGGTACAAAAGGTAGTATTTCACACACACATACATGCACACACACTTGTGTTTATCAACGAAGAAACTGACATTGGAAGAAGAAAAGTGACTTGCCTGAAGTCTCCCAGCAGGTTGGTGGGGCAAGTAAGACTAGAATCCAGATCTTCTGGCTTCTAGTCCAGCCCGCATTCCAGCCATGTTGTATGACTTAGTAACACGTATCAGATTCCAAAGCCCTTCCGTTATAAAATCATACAATTTTTAAAACCAGTGTTTTTGAAAGAGTAATACAGATCAATGACCAAAATTAAATTAATCTTAAATCTCACAGAATTTTTGGTCCATTCTACTCATTAAAGCACTAAATTGCATCCTGTCAGTAAAGTTATTCAAGCACATCAGGTGTACAGTCTGTTTGCCCAACAACAGACTTCCTAAGGATACGAATCAAGTCTTATATTTATCATATCATATATATACCCTCCGAGCTGCTAGCAGAATAGGAAGCTGCTAGTTACTAGGAAGATCAGGTCTCATGGAAAACACATTGTCCTGGTTACTCAGAGTGTGTATCTGAATTCTGTTGGCTGTACAACCCCCTGTGTAATGTACTTGTGAGAAAGTAGCTTGGAAAGGAGAATGTATAAAATTCTCAAACTAACAAATGTCTACATATTGTTTGTGAGTTGCTGTTGATTCCAACTCATTGTGACCCCATGTGTGCAGAACAGAACTCCACCACAGGGTTTTCAAGGCTGCAACCTTTCAGAAGCAGATTGCCAGGCCTTTCTTCTGAGATGCCTCTGGGTGTGTTCAATCTGCCAACCTTTTGACTAGTAGTCAAGATCTTAACTGTTTGCACCACCCAGCCACCCTCTGTCTACAAATAATTCCACGTATTTTGAAAGACTTCAAAGGCTTAAAAATCTTAAATTGAAAATGTTTGGGTACAGTACCACAATATTAATGTCCTCCAAGAATATGAGATAGTATTTCATACTTTAATCTACTGGATCCCTGTCACCTTCATATTTCTATCAATTGTATTAGAGCTTCTTGGATATTCTGCCGATACATTTAATCTGTTTTCCCAGTCAATAAAACTTGCCATCCCTTTGTTCTTCTTCTGACAAATGTTTTGAATGAGTCACTTGGAGATTAAAGGTAAACCGGTCTGTAATGTTCCCTACTTGACAACATGAAAGCACAGGTTCAAAACTTCCTCTCCACACTTTTGGTTCAGGCTGCTCCCACTGGCTTTTTTACAATTATATACAGCATTTTATCTTGTTCTAACACACAAATGTTCAATAATGGCTAATGCTCCATCTCTAGATGTAGTGCCCAGTCTAGAGAACTCCTTACTTTCTATGTGAAACTGACAGACTAAGCACGAGAATGGTTAAATTCATAAGACAAGGAGGTGAGAAAGTAAACATTCATTAATCTCAATGCCATCTTTCCAGCTGTGTCTTCTTTGTTCTTGGCATACTTCATAGCTTTTAACGTGAGGACTGTAGGAGGCTTGACTGACAAAGTGTTTTACAAGTCTACCCAGAAATATTTCTCTATTATTTTCATGTCTCATAGATAGTTTTGACCTCATAATTATTAAGTTCATGAGGTTCAATTCACTGATGAAACTTGATCTCCTACTACTTGAGATTAACTGAAAGTCCTTATCTCCTAGCAAGAGAAGTCAACCCAATGTCCTTAATTTTAAGTTCTGGTGACCTCAAATATTTTCCAAAGTACAAGACAAGTTCGAGAAGTCACTTCTTCCCTTGTTTACAAATCTGAGCAGGTAGTGAGACCAGTGTTTCACTATCTTTTCCTTGCTTCCTTTCTTCCTATGCTCTAGAGAAAGCCAACTGACTTTTCTGAGACTAGCAAAGCCACTTTCAGGGTTGAAGTTGGAAAACAGGCTGGAATGGTTTTCATGATTGATGATGACTTCCAAAGACTGGAAGACCGTCAAGCATCCTTGGGCAACAACAGTTGGCAGCTTGAAAGTGAAATCCTGGCTTCCAGAGATGAAACTATTGCAACTGCTCAGTTCTGTTTCTCAGGTTAGTCTATCCTCAGCCACTAATTCACATTTGGACTTCTAAAGTTCTTGGTTAGCTCTGCTGCCAGGGAAGCCAAAGGAAATTTTAAATATTCATTAGCAACAGGGACTAACCCCTACATATCCCAATCAACTTTCATTTAAGTTCACTGCCAACTTAAAGTTGCTCATTACTTTTTTGTGAGGGATATAATACCACCTAAGTCAATCGGATGGTGGAGTAAGACAATAAAACTGGTAATGAGGAATCAGTAAATCATGATTTATATGGGGAGGAGAACTCTAGAAATGCTTTTTTTGGGTAAAATAGCCACACAGAAAAAGCAGGACAGTTTAAGTCCAGCATTAGCACTTAGCCTTCCCCTACACATTAGCTCAACTAAAACTTTCTTAAATATATTTGATTTTACTAAATGAAGAGGGTTGGTTTTGGTTGAGTAATGAGCTGGATTTCTCTTTTTTTTTCTTATAAGACTAAGGAAGAATACATCAGATCATGCACTATGGAGATTCCCAGCGAAGACGTGCACAATGTGATCTTGAATTATATGGAATTCAGATCTTTTCCATCCATAATTACCATGAGGATTACAACCGCTTTTGTCAGAGACAGACCACACAGTGTAGTAGGCTTCAGAAACTTCAGATTCCACTACTGAAATGTGCTTTGTAGAAACAGCTGAAAATATCAACTCTTGCTAAATTAGTCCATTTGCAGGTAAGCATTGGAGCCTGACCTGCACCTGTGCTCCAGAGGCATGCTAACCCAACTGTGTCCTTTACAGTGAAAGACAGAAGAAACGTGACAACTGTGATTCTCACTTATACACACTATGTGTGCATAAGAACCATCCAAAGTGCTTGTTAAAGATGCTGATTCCTGAGACTCACCTTTAGATATTCAGATTCAGTAGATCTAGTACAGGGCCCAGGAATCTGCATGTATGAAGAAAGCACTGCAGGTGCTACATGGACTATACTTTGAAAACAAGGTCTGGCATGCTTCATAGCTGGGATAAATTCAAATGCCCACAGAAAAATTAATGTAAGAGTGAAGGGGTCCCTCCTGCACTGGAAGCATCCACATTTGTGACAAGTAGGGGGTGGGTAAAATTGTCTAGAAGGGGAGACCCTTATCTGGATTGAGTAGATTGTTGTCCTGAAGGGACGCAGGCCTGGTGGTGCTTTCCAATTTGTTAAGAGAGGTCCAAGACACAGGATTTCCCAAATTTTAAATGTTGGCTTATTATTCATTTTTTTAATCCTAGGTAAGCCAAATAAAATAGGTCTGTTGGCTGCTAGCTTGCAACCTCTACTTTATATTCTGCAGATGTTGCCTACTTTATATGATGCTTCTCTAGGCTACTTACTCACTGCACTGAGAGAAGGCCAGTGGTCCCTTAGCAACAGTCCCAAGAAAAAAATACCAAAAACTGAAACCTGGGCATTGTCCGTGTAGTCTTGCTTCTCCTAAATTGCCTGACACTTCTGCTTCTGTGGAACACTGGGTATAACAGTCTGCAGACTTTAGATCTGACCTATCTTTTCAGACCAGCATATGCCAAGGGAGAAGAGCTTGTGATGTGACTGATGAATTCTGTATGGATTAAAAATACTTTTACATTTGCATTTTTAATTATGCAAAAGAAATTTGGTGGCCCTGGAATAAAAGGCATAGCTTTCAGATCTAGAGTTCAATGGAAGAGAGAATTACTCTTTTTTTTTTTTTTAACAAAGAGGTACCATTTTGGTATACACTGTCCTTCCTGTAGGAGTCCCTGGGCGGTACAAATGGTTAATGCACTCGGCTGCTAACCTAAAGGTTGCCAATTCAAATCCACCCAGAGATGCCTCAGAAGAAAGGTTGGAGATCTACTTCCAAACAATCAGCAACTGAAAACCCTATAGAATGCAGTTCTACTCCGGCACACAGGAGGTCACCATGAATCAGAATCAGCTTGACGGCAACTGGTTTGGTTTGATTTTCTGGTCCTTTCCAAAGAAGAAAGGAAAAATGAGAGGGAAGGAGAGAAGACAGACATAAAGGAGAGAATGATTTGGAGCAGGTTTTCCATGTTGCTCAGATTTTCACACAAATAACATGCACTTTCTACGTTTGTTTTCCAACTGCTCCCTCCCACCGCAAGGTATTTTTGTAAGCACAGCTATGCCAATTTTATTTTACATGTTCCTGTAAAAAAGATTAGCATAACACGCTTTCGAAAATACTTCACAGCTGGAGG